TTTTTCTTCTTCTTCTTCTTTTTTTTTTTTTTTTTCTTCTTCTTGCAGTAACCCTTGTTCTGCAGCAGTCTGGGCTTTCGAACGGAGCCCAGACTACGCAGGCCAAACTCGGCCTGCACCAAGCAGTGTGACCACGCTTTCGAAAGTCAAAGTCTAAGTCAACTGTCAGGTCAAAGGTGTCTGCCCAGGCCCTTGGTCGGATACACTCACTTGTTGTGCGTAGGTACCTAGCCAGCATCAAGACCACGAGGAATTCGGTTTCAGGCCAATCTGAGTCGTCATTTGCGTTGAGATCTTGACGGCTGAGGAATGCAGCATCCGGGGTCCAGACCCCGCGTCAATGCTACATAAGCGTCGACTTCCTAACTTTGGGAACATTCTGCCTTGCTTTCAAAGCTGACTTCACATGTTGACAACAACGCTGGCTCGACGTTGGTTGGAAGTTGGCTCTACGTTGGCATTTGGGCGACTACGGCGACGTGCTGCTGGCTCGGCATGGTGGCTGACTGACAATTGTCTTCTGGGCATGCTGACGTGGCCGCTGCCACGCGCCGCCGCTGATGTGGCCGTTGCCACATGTACTGTTGCTGATGTGGTGGAGGCTACGCTATTGGCAATGCTAGGTACAAGCCGCTGATGTGGCCGTTGCCACATGTACTGTTGCTGATGTGGTGGAGGCTACGCTATTGGCAATGCTAGGTACAAAAGAAGGAAAAGATTGGTGTTGCATGCACCCATCAGGAAACTGTTAAGTACACTGCGAGAATAGGGATTTTTGAAAGGAGACTGATTCATCGTCACTCGGGAGGAGATCATGACTGTGGGGCGATCGGGGATATATACCTGGTTATCTTGATGCCGACATTGCTCCAGTTGCTGACGAGGGACTGATTATCGTGCCACATGGCACATTGTGATAGAACTTCAGACACACGTTCAGATTATTGATTACTTAGGTGGTGATTAAGGAAGGAGCCCGAATCAGAAGTGGGCCTTGTCTTCTATTCTCACTCTATGTCTATTCTCCTATGTTACCAATGGTCCGGAGATCGGACGTCTCTCCCGGACGTCTCCCCGGACGTAGGGTACCCCCGTCGTCCGGATTTCCGGACGACGACTTTTTGGCACTAAAAAAAAAAAAAATAAAAAAAATGACAGTGTTGCGCATGCCATAGAGACCCCCCATAAAAAAATTCAGAAGTTTCTGAGCATTTGGTGATAGGGTGCTATTTGGGGTGGGAGGGGGGGGTACGAGGGGTTTTGGTGGGGATAGGAGGGGTATAGGTGGGGATTAGAATCTTTGAAGATTTTTATCTTTTTTTCTACTGGCTCAAATGAGCCAAAATTTTGGTGGCATACACCTTATGCAAGGTAGAAGCCACATGATTTTTTTCAACTTTTTTTTTTTTTTTTTTTTATTATTATTATTATTTTCTGCGGTAGGTCTGACATACCCTGTCCAGTCCAACATCCGACCAAACGTCCGGTCGGACGTCCCAACGGTCAAGGGGGTCCCGGACGTCCGATAAAACAACCTAGCTATTCTCCCTCCTCTCTCCTTCGTCTGTGTATGTTTTCCCATCTCATTCCATCTGGACACGATTATGATTATTGACAATATCAGCAGGTTGATATTTATTTGGGCTTGCATTGTTGACAAGTGTCTTCACGATCTGGGTTCATTGCAATTTGGTATCGAAGTTGTACTCCCGATTACGTGATCGACGACGACGACGACATGTGGAAGAACGACGACGACAAAGACTCACGCGTGCGTCAGGTGGCAGGTAAGTGGGACGCGGTGCTCGTCTATAGACACGATCACTKTTGTCCCGACAACAACCGACGCGCGCGTGATCGAGTGGTCACGATCTGCAGGTGAAGATCACGAAGAAGCTCGCCGAAGATTGGTGCCGACGTGGATGGCATTATCAGCAAGGAGGTCTTGACCACGCGCACGTTAGATTGCTGACGTGGCATCAGGATCCTGACTGGAAGGGAACCAGCCAGGATCGTTATCGCTATCCCGATGCCGATCGATCGCATTAGCAATCGGGATCAATGACTCACGTTGCCAAACGAAATAACGAAGTGCTGATGTGGCATTACTCGCCAATTGTCTTCTTTGGCATCCGTAATGTTGACGTGGCACTCGATACTTGGCTGACGTGGCACCTGATACTTGGCTGACGTGGCATTCAGGATTGGTTGGCTCCTCGCTGGTATCATATACTGAAGACTAGAATAACAGGCTAATTGACGAAGACTACATTGACGCACATTGCTGGCGTGCACCCCATTACTGACCTTTATTGGAGGGGACATGCTGACGTGGCATATTCTACGAGTTGCGGAGTTGGCATACCGAGGGTGACACGTGGCAGGCACAAACGTGTCTAAGTAAGAGTTGCATTCTGATGACTGAAGCGATACGACTGAAAGACTGACCTGGCTGTGGTGCCAGACGTCAGATTGGGTGCTGATGACACAGGATCGGAAAACAAGCAGCAGCAGAGGGAAAAATTCTAACTATTGTTGTGATTATTTTGTTGGCAGACTTACCTGTTGTCTTGTGTTGTGTACTTGTGTACTCACTTGTGTGAGATGATGATCATGCTGGCTTGAGTTGTGGTACCTGAAATAAAACAGACGTCATCACATAGGAAGTAGAACAACAATCAGAGTTAGTAAAATTTTTTGTTTTTGTCACTTAATCTTTCTGTTCCGGTATTGTAAATTTCTGAGAATTAGGTGACTGCTTAAATTATTATTTTTTATTTATTTTTGCGGTAGATAAACCTGACCGACGATTTTTCTTATTTTCGTCCTTCGAAAATGTTTCACTTCTGGAAAAATCTGCAGATGTTTATCCTGACTAGGTTTGTGACTACGTTTTTGTTTCCTATTCCGCTCACGGTCTCCGTGGGTGATGGACCGTCCGAGATTATGACTCGGACACAGATCGAAAATAGGAAACAAGAACTTCTAGCTCTGTGAAATCAATTGTTGACCGAAGTACATCTATCCGGACTGGATGATGAACAACACATCTGTGATAGATTTGATTTGAAGACGATCGAGGACCGTCTGAAGAAATCTATTATAACTGTGGAGGTTGTGGCAGTCGAGACCGAGGTCTCTAAACTGATTACCCAGTGTCGTCAGGCGTTGGACCAGTATGCATTAAAGTAGTTGGAAGAAGTGATGGAACAGACTCGTAAAGGTGAGATTAAGCCAGAAGTGATTGAGGCTACGATTGAAGCAAAACTCCAGCAACTGAAAAAAACGCTGGCCGCAAAAGAAAGAAAGAAAGAAAGAAGAGCTGGCAAGAAGGAGAGAATAAGAACAAAGGAGGGGACATAAAGTTAGGGAAATTGGACAAGTGATTGGAACAGAAGGTGGGGAACAAGCAGACATGTCTCATATGTTGTCCCATATTGTGACTTACCTTACCTTTTTGGAAGAGAAAATCGATAGGCAGCAAACTCAATTAGATGTGATTGTTGTAGGACTAAAAACAATCACAAACATTGTGAAAGGAAAGAATCAGGTAGAAGGTAAGGAAGAAGAAAGACAAGAAGAAATAGAAGACAAGAAACAAGTGAAGAAATTGATGGGAGATGCCATCAAGTCTGCTGGTCCTAGAATTAAAACGTCGACCAATGGGAATGGACCGCCGAATCCATATCCTTCTTAGCCTAAATCTTCTCATTCTACTCCTTCTTTCAAGTCTCCTTCTTCTTCAACAACTCCGGACAAGACAAGTGCAGAACCGGAGAAGCCAAAAAAGAAAGAAAGAGTGAAAATTAAGTTGTCTTTTATGTTTAGTAATAAGAAAGATGAAAGTCTGCCTTTGTGGATTGCTGAAATCCAAACTTATGTAGTCACCGCTCCGGTCGAGCCGGAGTCCCAAGTGGCGTTCACCAGGGTTGTCGAGCCCCGGCCCCGGGGCACCGGCGGGGGTCCGGGGGTGGGCACCCGCAGCCCTAGCTCCGGACCCCCCTCCAAAAAAAAATAAAAAATAAAAAAAATAGTGGGGTGTGTGCAGCGAGAGCTCGCACCACGTGGGCTAAACCTCCAAAATGGGTTTTAATCCCCCACCCCGGACCCCCCCCGGGGCCACACCCACCACTGCTGGGACCGAGGTAGCTGCTG